TCTTAGCATCAATGAGCGAACATGAACGCGCAAAATTTTTAGCAAGTTTATCATTAACACAAAGACGTGAATTAGAAGCCGAGATCAAAACCTACACAATAACAACAACATCATCACCCAATACTACGCGAGCCAACAAAGTTGCTTTCTTAGCTTTAATGGGTGGACAAGAACGAGAAAAATATTTAGCAAGTTTATCGCCAACAGAAAGACGAGAACTGGAAACCGAGTCCAAATCCTACACAATAACATCATCCAGTGCTAACTCGCGAGCCAATAAAGCCGCTCTCTTAGCATCAATGAGCGAACATGAACGCGCAAAATTTTTGGCAAGTTTATCATTAGCAGAAAGACGAGACTTAGAAGCTGAGCTCAAAGAAGGTACCATCAAGCGGACCACCACCACTTATTACTCCGAGGATCCAAATACACCTGGATCAGAACGTGTTGAAGTTGTCACAACAGAAGTTGTCACTACGGATACAGTGACAGAAGAACCGGTAGATTTGGGGATTGCTGGTGCTACGACAACGACCAAAACTTTTACCACTAGCAGTGGCAGCGGTGAAGTGACGACGACGACGACAACAACTAAGAAAGAAAAGACGGGGCTTTTTAAGAAATAATTATATAGCTAATTATTTTATAATGATAATACAGGGATAATATATTTTTGATTTGCCATTTTTGGATACTATATATTATTGATTAGACATTGAAAATTAATATTGGCGAAAGTTGGAACTATTAAAGATCTTGTCGTTTTTCTTTCCCTCTTTTGAGTTAATCGGACTGAAATAGGATTGAATTGGACTAGTCTATTCTTATTATTTAATTTAATGTAAAAATCACCACAAAATCAATCCTAATTTGTCCGATTATTATTTAGATTTTTTTATTATTTTTGAGTAGATTTTAGGTTTTAGATGATAGAAAGAAGAGCAACAGGCCCAATTTTTTTTAGCGATTAGTAATAGTTAATTTAGTGCTAGTATATTTGTAAAATTTTTAGTGTGTGTAAATGTACAACACGATGATTGATCAATTTTGTATGCTTTATTAAAATCAAAAAAAGCAAAAAATCCCATAAAAGATGGTCGTAGCACAGTTACATCATATTATATGAAATGTGACAGGTCTGATGATCAATTAATTGAAATTCAAAATTGGGCGTATATTTTTGTGTATACGCCAGACATTATTAAATATATAAATATAAGTCGGTGATAGAAGTTTGTTTTCTTTTCCTTGTCTGTTACAATTAGGGGAATAAAGTAAAAAAGAAAAATACGTTTTACAAATACTAAACTCATAATAATAGATAGTCATGTTAAAAAATCTCATCATTTTGCTCGCCTTTCTATTGGCGTTCACTAGTGCCTCGTTTTTGGTAAAACAGGAAACGTACGAAACACATGAATCATATTCTTTCCTGTACTCTCTTTTCCCTGGTTCCGGGAAACCGACTATAAGTGACTGCAGCAACGATAACGACATTCTTCAGATAGAATACATCACAATTAGACCCGACCCACCGAAAAAAGGCAAATCTTTGGATATTGATGCACGCGGATACTTGACCGAAAGGGTTGATGAGGGTAGCTATGTGGACATAACGGTGAAATTGGGATTGATCAGGTTGTTGCAGCAACGAATGGATCTGTGTGAACAGGTGGAAAAAGTTGATAAAAAATGTCCATTAGAAGCTGGGCCGCAGACTTTAAAAAAGACTGTGGAGTTGCCGAAAGAGATTCCTCCGGTTTGTACTTGAAAATAATTTTGTCAGTTTATCATGCTTTTTTTAGTGACGATTTTGAATTTGATTTATTTATCGGTATTGATATTTTTAATTAGGGCAAATATTTTGTTGATGCTTTTGTCTACACAAAAGATCACCGTCGTATTGCCTGTCTCAAAGCTCAAACTTTCTTTGGGCCTTAATCCTACTTATACCATCAAATATTATCTTTTTTGTTTTTGATATACATCATTAATAATAATACTAGCAACTAGTTTCCTTTGCCTTTTTTTTTTGGTTGTTCATTTCTCACGGACAGGATTTTGGGTATTCGATAGTATTGTACAGGGATAAATGTAAACATTTTTGATTAATCGACTTTAAATAATCGGATTTGTTTTTTGATATTTTTGAATTATTGATGTTTTATGTGCCACTAACAGAACAAAGAAAATAATTCACAATTTTTGGGAACTTTCTAAGATCAATAGATACATTTGTGGTTAAACCTACGTTTTACCAAATGCGAAATCACCTAAACTCTAAAAATTTGAGACTGTACAATATAATGACATTTAATGACATTCTATGACAATCCAGAGGTGGAAAATACTAAAAACAGTAGAATTTTCATCTTTCGAAATATCTATTTTTTCTTTATTTAGCTTTTTAATTAATCTTTTCTCAATGATTGAGTTTATGATCGAGCACGTGTCACGATGAATTACGACTACAAATGCAGAATTTTTTTCACACCAGACTTTTTAAAGGAAGGCTGATTATACGATAAAAGTTGTGCCACCATTACTTTCGCCCGTTGCACGGATTGCAATCTATCTCTTATTCATCATCGATCGCTTCCTTTGCAGTTATAATCTTACAAATCCAAGAGCCTCTTTTTGAATACCCTTGTGTTCAGCTCATTGTTACAAAAATGAGCGAATCTGGTCGTCTTTTACTTTTTTAAGATCATGTGATTCTTTTACGGGTAAACCAATCAAATTGACCCATTTGAAGATCAAAAAATTACTTTGAACTAAAATCGATTTATGCTATTTTAAAAAAGTCACGTGACTACTAAATACATTGAAAATTATTAATCACACGATTCTCGCTCACATTGCAATCCAATGAACGCAAAAATAATAGATGATGTCGAAAACTTAAATAAATATGCGCTAACTTTCTTTTAAGTATATGAAAACAAAAAGTATCATAATAAAAATTCCTTAGTATTCATTTAACCATTTTTTAAAAAAGTTTTTAAAAATGATAAAAATATGAGGATACTCATCAATTATTAAATTATAATAGTCGTTTATATGATAATTAAACTTGTTTATAATGTCAAAATTCTATAATACAGTGACGATCAAAAGTAATGCAACGCAAAATTAAAAATTGTTAAATCGCGATATGTTTACACAGACTCGAGAACATAGTTGATAGATTTAATTAAGTATATGCAAATAACTTTAAATATAATAAATTCAACACAGACTATTAAGTCAATTATTTCACAATCATAATATTTATTCAATTTTTAGTGTTGCTCATTTTTAATAAAATTTATATAATCTTCAATATAAAATAAAAACATTATATTTTTTTATTTTTAATTATACCCAATATATTATCATCTAGTATAATTACCATATGCTTTTATATGTCACAAATACTTTTCAGCATAGAATGAATTAAATTTGTATAATAATTTACATCAATTTCCTCACAGACCAGCTGAATTTTTTTTTACAAGTCTTCTGTACCTGAAATTAATCCAGAAAGATACTGAAGACAATGATTTACTTCATTTCATAAATATTTAATTGAATGATTGTGCCAGTCAATCTAAAACAATAATATTATTATCATCAAATCACTCTTTTATCAAATTTGCTATATGTTTAGAATTATTATCCTATTAAAAAATGATCTTATTAATAATAAATTCATATTCTTTAATAGTATTCATAAAATCTTTAAGAATTTATCAATATAATATATCATTTATATTCTTATTAATCTTATAAAAGTTATTAATATATGACAGGTAAAATAACTTTATATTATTACTTGTTTATTACTTTTATCATAGATTTAATATGATAATTTTTTAATAACTTATTTTTTCTTTTTTAATAGTACTATTTTTTATTAGATTCAAAAATTTAAAACTTAAATTTGTCAGATTAAATTATCTTTAATTAATCTTTATAAGTTTAATATTATTGATATTTGAATTTTAAATACAATTTTTTTTATTTTATTCTTGCTATTAAATTATTTTTTTTTAATATATGATGAATATTATACTCTAAAATTTTGATATTTTTAATATCTTGAAGATAATTTTGAATAATAAAGTAATAAAATTATTATAAAATATAATAAGAAGAATTATTATTTTTTTAACTAATTATTTAATAATTATAAATGATCAAACTTACTTGTATTATTTAAAATATGCTATTTATTTTATTTTTTATTAATAGTAAAATAATTAATTTTATAAGTTCTTGTTATTTTTTTTGTAATATATTTATTTTAAAGTAAATAATTATTTTAATTCTTTTTTTAAGAGTTATATAATATTTTAATGTTTATTTTTTATTATTAAAAAGTTATAATATAATTTAAGAAAAAAAAGATAAATAAAATAATTCTTTATTTTATGATTTTTATTTAATATTACTTATTATTTGATTTCTTAAAATAAAAAATAAAAAAAATTTAATACTTATTTTTATAAATTTGTATATTTATCTTAAATTATATTTAATAATAGTAAATTAAATTTTAATAAATTAAATTAATATTATTTATATATTATATTTATTAATTTTATTAAAGTTTACTAATTATTTATAAAGATATTATAATTTAATAATTTTTAATTTTGCATTATATTATTTTTAATTAATATTATATAATAAAAAATTTTATAATATTTTAATTTTTTTTATAAATTATTAATAAAATTAATTTATAATATTAAATTTTAATATATAATTTTTATAATAAAATACTATTTTTTATATTTTATTTATAACTTAAATATTTTAATTATATTAAATACTAAATATAATAATCAAATTTCTTTAAGCTATTATTTATATAATTTTTATATAACTTTTAGTTCAAGTTATAAAATTAATATAATTTTAATTAATATTAATATATAATTTAAATTTATTATATAGTTATTATAAAAAATAATATTTAATTTATATATATAACAAAATTAATAACTTTATATATAATATTTTTTTACTATTTTTTTATATTAATTTTTATATTATTTTCTTTATTAATTTTATTAAAATATTATAATAAATAATATTATATATAATTATAATATTTATATATACTTAGATAATTAATATAAAAAAAATATTAATATATATAAAAAATATAAATATTAAATAAATTATAAGAAAAATAAAATATGATTTATTATAATAATAATTTATTATTAAATATAAAAAGATTAAAAAAATTAATAATTTATTATAATTTAGAAAATTATAAGTTTTTAATAATAGATAAAAAAATATATTTAATATAATAATTTTAATTAGGTTATCTCTCTTTAGATCTCTTTTAGTTTAGATCTTTATTTTGTACTATTTATATAACAGATTAGCTTTATATTATATTTCTAAGAAGATTAATTTTATTCTGAATATACAGATAATTATTATATATTTAATACATCTAGATTTAGCATATTATTACTCAAATAATCATTATATATATCACAATTATTAATTTAAATTATTAATATTTTTAATTATTTTTATTATTAATATTTCTTTATAATTTTATTCATTCTTCTTATTATTATATTTATATTATTATTTATATTATTATT